TTGCTTACTGCAGCCATGCAAATTCACATGGTTTTGTCAAATCAGCCTTATCCGGTATTTTAATTTTACATGATGTAATCGTGCAAGGTGCTGAGTGAATTCCCACAGACTTACTGAGGGCTTTCAGCATCTCATGATACATCCATATGAAGGGCATTATACAGGCACCTGCCACCCAAAAGAAGCCCGAGCTATCACTGAGTCAGCTATTGAAGTTTTCTCTTTCTTTTCATTCACCAGAATTAATCGTGGATCATTTGATTTGGCACAACTGCTAGAATAGCATGTCAGTGTCCTTCTGTCAAATGCACACAACTAATACATTACTAAATAGATTTCAAATGTTTTTTTCCAAATATGCCTTTTTGAGATGTGTCTTCTCAAATCTTTTTTTATTTTTATTTTTTTATTTTTTGTTCATTCAGGTGACAAAGGAGTCAAAGGTTTATCTGGGGTGTCTGGAGGAAAGGGAAAAGCAGGTACAGTAAGTTAGTTACCACTATATTTCCTAAGCAGTGTCTTTCTCCTAAGGACAGTTAAACTTGGGGCATTGGGTTTCCTGACATTTTGTAAGTTTGGGGATTCACAGAAAAATTGAGATCCATGAAATGTTTATCAACCTTAATTTAAACCATATTACTGTCTTCAGATTTTTAAAAACAAACGATGGAGTTCTAACTAAATGGACAGCATAGACTGTGCAAACCATAAAGATTCTTGTGAGAAAGTAACTACATCCCTCTTCTTCTTGGAAGGAGTAGAAGAATGAAATAAAATATACAGCACCCCAGAGCTCATATGATCAGGTCCAAACACATTACAAACATCAGTGGTTTTGAGTTGTCATGGTTGTTTCTACTGCTCGTAAGCACACAAGACAGATTATTGACATAGTTCCCCTCCAAAAAACAAAGTTTCCAGTTTAAGGGCTCCATGCTCTTTTCTGTGTCCCTGGTAGAGCAGAGTCTACCTGAAAAGGAACGTTCCATGTCTGTGGCATGTTCATCCTTTTCCCTAACCTAAGGGAAGTTCTCCATCCTAATTATCTGTAGCAAGAGTAGAGTGAGCTGGGAAGCCAGCTGATCGCCTCTGGATATCCCCAACCCATAAGGGATGCCAATGGTGTTAACAGATCCCAGTGCTGTGTTAACGTGCCCTGCTTTTACCTCTCTGCAAGAGGGAGATAAAGTTATAGGGACAGCTGTGATAGGTGAAGACCCAGCCCGTGGAACACAAAATAGATATTGGGGGCAAGAGCATACAGCAATTAAGAGGATAAAACCTCCTATCTCTGGGATCAATCTCCCTCACCCTAAGGAAGAACTGTTCTTTTTCAGGATCTGAGATCTCTAATTGGGTGAGAAAAGCTAAACCAAAACATTAATGGAAACTTATAGTCCCACATGAAGGAGGCACACTCCATAGCCCATTAAGTTCAATGAGAGTGTTCTCATCAGTGGGGGCAGCATCAGGGCTTACTGGTGACTAGTGAGCAGTAAGTCTTCCAGAAGGTCTGAGAGCAGATTGGCAGGTCAGTCAGTGCCTTTTCCCAATCGATGAATCAAGTGTTTTCTATTTTGAATCAGGCACAGTCTGTGACTGTGGGAGATACCGCAAAGTTGTTGGACAACTGGATATTAATGTTGCTCGACTCAAGACATCCATGAAATTTGTCAAAAATGGTAAGCTTCATCTTCATTTATTTTACAGATTTCATTTGGTTCCTACCTTTTTATTGTTGTTGTTGTTGTTGTGATATTAAGGTAGTGTTTGGAGGCCAGCATCCCCTTGTGCTAAGCATTATGGAAATGTATACAAAAAGACGATCCCTGCCTCAAACCTTACGATCTAAGGCTATGTCTACACTGCAGGCTTCTTGCGCAAGAACTTTTTGCGCAAGAGTTCTTGCGCAAAAAGTTCTTGCACAAGAGTGCATCCACAATGCCATGTGTTTTTGCGCAAGAGATGTGCTTTTGCACAAGAGCATCCATGGCAGTGTGGACACTCTCTTGCACAAGAAAGCTCGGATGGCCATTTTCGCCATAGGGGTTTGTTGTGCAAGAAAGCCCTGTTGCCCATTCACACATGCCTTTTGGCGCAAGAGATCTTGCACAAAAAGGCTTATTCCTTGCAGAAAGAGGAATAACTCTTGCACAAAAAGCCCTGTGTTCTTATGATTTCCTGTACTTTTTCTTGCACAAGAACACTCTTGTAGTGCGGACAGTCCACACGTTTTTGCACAAAACCAGCCATTTTTGCGCAAAAACTCTGCAGTGTAGAGGTAGCCTAAGTGTAAGACTACAGACCCCTGGGGGATACAAACAAAGAGGTAAAGGGGGCACAAGGGACCAGGAGATGATAGATATTAGCATGAGTGGCTCTGGACACAGCCCATAACAGGTCATCCAGTGTTGAGTTTGTGGCAGGCCCTGCAGCAGAGAAGAGCAAAGGAAGGATTTGAAGGAGGACAATAAAGTGACTGTAGATTTTACTAGGAGCTTTGCCCAGGTTTGAAGGGTGGCAAGGGAAAAGAATGAAGTTGCTTGTTGGAAAATTGTAACAGTATAATTAAAGGTGTCAGCTCTGATTCTCCACTGACTGCCACCTGAGCTAATCACTTCCTCATGGGCAGCAATCAGAATGGAGTAGCACTTTATAGCTACTTGGATTACACTGAGTATACAAAGAACAAGTGTGGCCAGTGTGCTGCACCGTGTGCCCCAGCAAAAGAGGACACAAGATGCTTCCTGTCCCTTCCACTCCTACATAGCAGCTGAGTGTATTTGGAGTGCCAGTGTTCCCTTGAGAGTAAATATCATTTATCCCCAGTGGCCCTAGGGTCAGATACCCAAAAGGGAATAGGAATGGATAATGAAGAAACACAGTCAGAATTTCCCAGACATGTACCCACTGCAGAGATAGAACAGCAGGTACTCTGCCACAGCACACCTGGGAGCTGTGGGTAGGCTTCCACACCATGCTCGGTGCAGGCTAGGGCTTGTATGGCATGACTGAACCCTAAGAGGCCTGGTTATCAGAGATGCTGAGCACCCACAGCACCTTTTGTAGTCAACAGATATTGAGGAGACTCAGGGTATGTCTACACTGCAGAGTTTTTTCAGAAAAATGGCATTTTTTCCAAAAAATCTTCACTTACGTCCACACTGCAATTGCGTTCTTTCGGGGGGGAAATGGAAAGAACAGCGGGGTTTTCCGACATTGGTAAAGAAGCCTTTTTCCAAAAGAGCTCTTTTGGAAAAAGGCGTGTATGGACAGGGAAGAAGGAGTTCTTTCGAAAGAAGAGGAAAGAGGAAAAAGCACAGGTGCCCTGGTGGCTACTCCATCCATAGTAATCACAGCTTAAATGTAAGACAGCACCCATTTAGTCTGGACGCTCTCTTTTGAAAAAGCAGATTGCTTTTTTGATGTGCTTTGGCAGTGTGGACGCTCTCTTTCAGAAGAAGTTTTTTCAGAAGATCTCTTCTGGAAAAGCTTCTTCCGAAAGAAGCCTGCAGTCTAGACAGCTTCAGCAGCTATAAAAATCAGGCCAAATCCAAAGGTCTAGCCTTAGCCACCCAAGAACATCGACCTCCCCTTACACTAAGAGGGCCCTATTGGTATTAGCATTCTTACTTTTGCTTTCTGGAGCACTATATTAAATCACAAGTGAGGTGAATTTAGTGATCTCATCTAGTAGCAGAGGCTTGTTTGTCCAGCTGGCAGGTCATGATCTGAGAACCAATGCTTCAGAGAAGCCCAAAACTGAAATGGCAAGAGTGATGTCGGGCAGGCAAGACTGAGGAGCACTATACCATGTCCTCACTTGTATAAGAAGCGTAACACCTGCTTTAGTATCATTCCCTGTCTGAGCCTTCATCATCATCTTCAGAACCTCTGTTGTGGGCAACCCATTTCCCAGCACTGTGGGCTATTTCTACTGGTTTTTCTCTTTATGGAGAGACTCTTACACATTTTGAGAGATCATTATTACGGTGTTTGTTTTTCTTTCTTAAGTCATCGCAGGAATCAGGGAAACGGATGAGAAATTCTATTACATTGTCCAAGAAGAAAAGAGCTACAAGGAGGCTGTGACCCACTGCAGGATCAGAGGGGGGATGCTGGCAATGCCAAAGGATGAGGCCGCCAACGCACTGATTGCTGACTACATCTCCAAGAGTGGCCTCTTCCGTGTATTCATTGGGGTGAACGATCTGGAAAAGGAGGGGCAGTTCATGTATGCAGACAACACCCCCCTGCAGAATTACAGCAACTGGAAGGAAGGGGAGCCGAAGGATGGGTCTGTGCACGAGGACTGCGTGGAAATGCTCAGCACGGGAGAGTGGAACGACTCAGAGTGCCATCTGGCTATCTACTTTGTCTGTGAGTTCAAGAAGAGAAAATAAAATGCCAGACAGAGTGCTTGCCATGCAGCTTGTGACCTACAATAATTCCTTCTGATGTATCCATTCTTGGTGACACATTGGGCAGGGCAGAGGGACAGGGCCTGGTGCTGCACTCACATAAGCTTGTGCGTTTTAGTCCATGGAGTTACATGGGTGTATGCTGAGTCAGAATCAGGCCTGCAGGCTTCCTGGCTTCCCAACTAATGGGCAATCTCTCTGATTTTTATTTGAGGTTTAAAGTTCTTGGGCTAAATGTAGAATCAGTGTGAGTGAGTGTCACAGTATATGAATGACAGTGAATGACAGAGTGACAGTATATGAATGGGGAAAGCAATTGGTTGTGCAACATTTCAATAGGCTTCTCAAACTCAATGGAGGGAGAGAGTGAGTTTTCTTAGCTACACCAGCACTGCAACTGGGAGAGGCGGGGCACAACCACACAGCTCCCTGTGGTAGATGCCACAGGAAGGCACAGTATTTTTTGCAGCTCCCTGGTTGCCTTAGGGGGTGGAGAAGTACTGAGCAATGTCCCTTTAAGAGCTACTAAACAACTCCTCTACTACCTGAGTGGCTGGACAGATATGCTCACCTTCACATCTCCCTGCCCAGTTTTTCTGGAATGAGGGAGACTGGCCCTGGAATTCCAAGGAGGTGCTGGACCACTGTCCTGTTCATCCTTTTTCTTTCTCTTTTTTGGCTGGCTGTGGGTTCTGTTCTTTTTTGGGGGGGGGAAGTGGGGGGGGAGAAGTGGGGGGAGGGGGAGACTCAGCCACTTGGGGGACAGAAGGTGAGCACCAAAAATATTTTTTGCCCTAGTCAGTGTAAAGGCTAGGGCTGCTCCAGCTTGCATGAGCCAGTGGTCAGCTTTGCTATCAGATCCGGGCTATTTATTATTCTACTTCAGTACTTACCTAAGGGTATGTCTAGACTACATGCCTCTGGCGACAGAGGCATGTAGATTAGGCTACCTGGCATAGGTAAAGAAGCAGGGATTTAAATAATCCTGCATGAAAATCAGCTGATCCAGCACAGCACGGTAGTCTAGACGTGGATCAGTCGGCTGGGGAAGCCTTTGCTGACCGATCCTGTAAGCCTCGTTTTCTGAAAGAGTGAAATTGCCATGTGCTTGCATTGTCTGGTTACATTGAAATCACAGTCAAATACACTTTTCTTGTTCCAAGGCAGTAATCTTTGTGTAATCTTTTCCTGTATAGAAAAATAGAATTAAAATGTCCAGGATTTTCTGATTTTTTTTCCCTGCTAGGAGGCAAAAATACCAGACACCTGGCAACCCCACAACACACTCAGCAACTGGGCCCAGCCCCCAAACCCCCCCCCC